CTAGAGATCATCTAGTCCAACCTTCCTGCTCAAGCAGGCACACCTACAGCATGTGGCACAGGGTGGCATCCAGGYGGGTTTTGAAGACCTCCAGAGTAGGAGACTCCACAACCTCCCTGGGCAGCCTGTTCCACTGCTCTGTCACCCTAACAGGAAAGAAGTTGCTCCTCACCTGGAGACGGAACTTCTTATGCTTCAGCTTGTGGCCATTACCCCTCGTCCTATCGCTGGCCACCAGTGAAAACAGTCTGTCCCCTTCCTCCCTGCATTCTCCCTTCCTGAGCTTATACATATTAATCATATCCYCTCTGAGCCGTCTCTTCTCCAGAGAAAACAGGCCCAGCTCACTCAGCCTCTCTTCGTACGACAGATGTTCCATTCCCTTAATCATCCTGGTTGCCCTTCTCTGGACCCTCTYSAGAAGCTCYACRTCCCTCYTATMCTGGGGTGCCCAGAACTGCACACAGTACTCCAGGTGCGGCCTCACCAGAGCTGAGTAGAGGGGCGGAATCACCTCCCTYGACCTGCTGGCAACACTCCTGCTGATGCAGGCCAGGATCCCATTGGCCTTCTTGGCCACGAGAGCACACTGCTGCCTCATGGTTAACTTAGTGTCAACCAGGACTCCCAGGTCCCTCTCCGTGGAGGTGCTCTCCAGCAGGTCCACCCCTAATCTGTCCTGATGCCTGGGGTTATTCCTCCCCAGGTGCAGGACCCTGCACTTGTCCTTATTGAACCTCATGAGGTTCCTCTCTGCCCAACTCTCCAGCCTGTCCGGGTCCCTCTGGATGGCAGCACAGCCCTCCGGAGTGTCGGCCACTCCACCCAGCTTGGTGTCATCTGCAAACTTGCTCGGGGTGCATTCCGTGCCCTCGTCCAGGTCATTGATAAACAAGTTGAACAGCACTGGGCCCAGCACTGACCCCTGGGGGACACCACTGGCCACAGGCCTCCAAGTGGACTCGGCCCCATTTATCACCACCCTCTGAGCTCTGCCATCCAGCCAGCCCTCGATCCACCGCACCGTGCACTCGTCAACTTACACAACTTACACACTTACAGAATCATAGAATCATTAAGATTGGAAGGGACCTTTAGAGATAATCTAGTTCAATCCGCCTGCACACGCACGGTCACCTAGAGCACATGGCACGGGGCTGCGTCCAGCAGGTTTTGAAGATCTCGAGAGAAGGAGACTCCACAACCTCTCTTGGCAGCTTGTCACAATGCTCCCTCACTGTTAAGAATTTTTTCCTTAAGTTCTTATGGGACTTTTGGTGCTTCAGTTTGTGGCCGTTTCCTCTAGTGGCCACCATTGAGAAGAGGCTGCCCCCTCCTCCTCACTGCCTCCCTTGAGGTATTTATAGACACTGATCAGGTCCCCCCTCAGCCTTCTCTTCTCCAGGCTGAACAGACCCAGCTCTCTCACCCTTTCCTCATAGGGCAGATGTTCCAGGCCCCTGATCATCCTTGTACCCCTGCGCTGGGCTCTCTCCAGCAGCTCCACATCCCTCTTGTACTGGGACACTGCTGCCTCATGGTCAACTTGTTGTCCACCATGACACCCAGGTCCTYCTCTGCAGGGCTGCTTTCCRGAAGGTCAGTACCAGCTTGTACTGGTGTCTGGGGTTATTCCTCCCCAGGTGCTGRACCCTGCACTTGCCCTTGTTGAACTTCATGAGGTTTCTCACTGCCCAGTTKTCTTGTCTGTTCAGGTCTCTCTGGATGGCAACGCAGCCCTCTGGGGTATCAGCTACTCCTCCCAGTTTCACATTATCAGCAAACTTGCTCAAAGGGCACTCTATCCTTTCATCCAGGTCATTGATAAATAAATGGAACAGGACTGGACCGAGGACTGACCCCTAGGGGACACCGCTAACTAAAGATCTGCAAACTATACTGTACGCCTCTGGTCCTCACTCACTGAGCTCTGCCATCCAGCCAGTTCTCAATCTACCTCACGGTCCACTCATCTAACCCACACTTCTGGAGCTTGTCCAAGAGGATGCTGTGAGGGACTTGGTTGGATGGGAGCAGTCCATGGAAGATAACTGCYTTGTTCTCAGATCTGGGCTTTGGCTCTGAACAGTCCTTGCCAATAGGTGGTGATGATAACTTTAAAGATGTGTGTCTGTGTGTGTGTTCTGTGGTTGTTTTTGTTAAGCTTTGTAATGATTCTAAAATAGTTTCTTCAGTCATTTCTGTCGTTTTCGTAGACAGGAATAGCTGTGGACATACTTATCACATAAACGCTTTTATTTGTCCTTAAATAAAAACAAAAGAGATCCCTCTTACTATCCTATAGTGTTTATTATTTTGGTAAGTGACAGATGCTGATGAGATTTAATAGGAGTCCTCTTTCAATAATGGGAAGTCCTTAAAAGGCTAAAGAAGTGAGAATGAATCATTTTCTTCTAGACTATTTTGTGCCAGCAKCCTCTTCTTCATTCTCTTAGAGAAATGTCACAGCTTCCATTAATGTACCTACTTGGTTCTCAAATTCAAGTAGACTTCTTGGTCCTTTTTGACAATTAGGAAAAAGTAAAATTCTTATTTTTTACATCAGCATGACTGATGAAAATAGATTAAGCTAAAGGCATTTCATCCATGTAATTCCATATTCAAAATAAATCTTTGCTGCTATCATACCTGCTAGGAATTGTGAGCTGGGTAAGTTTTTCACTTCCTTCAGTTTGTATGCAAAACTGCTATATCGCACTATGTCAAATATTTGCAGTTCAGTTAAATTCAACTGATTAGCTAATTGTCTTAGTAATGTGAACACAGAAAATCATTGTGTCAGAATAACCTGGCATGATGTTTGTTTTTATTAAACATAAATTGTACTTTTTAGTCTCATTTTCTTTATCTCCATAATTTTAGTTCATCTTCTTACATATCCTTCCTACTACATATCCTACAGYTATATCCTATAGTTTCTCAGGACACTTATTATTAAAATATATATATATATTTACTATTGGATTAATTTAATTCCTTCTTTAAGGTAGAAATATGTTTTTAGATGCAATGAATTGTCTTGTCAGGTGTTCCTCTACCATAGAAAGAATTAAATGAACTTGGACAGTGCCATAGCCTTCTCCTTGTGCCTTGTAGATGGCATGTATAATTGTTAGAAGAATACCATTCCTATTCAGACTGGATTGAGTGTATGCTTTTAAGCTGTAAGGCTTGATTGATTAGAATTTTCTATAGGAAACTTTGGAGTAATTACGAAATAACACAAATKAAGTGGATTCAACATTTTATATTTTCAAGACTAAACCCAAGCCTCACAACATAGCGTATTCAGTTATAACATATCCTGGTGTAAAATGGCACAGTGTTTCAGTCCTAATCCACACACACATTAGATCAGCAWTTTATGCCTTGGCCTGTTTATATGAATTCTAGCTGAAGTATGAATAAACTTTTCCTTTTCTTTGCTCCAGCTAGTACTGTGTATATCTGAATGGGGAACTGGAACCCTTTCCTGGAAAAGAAGAGGGAATATGGGAAGAAAGAGATTAAATGAACTTTACTTCTAATAGCACATATCCTTAGTTGGCATTGGGTAGTAGTGGCAAAAAAAATAATCATAGGGAATGTGTTATTATCAAGATTTTATCTTTGGTGAAAAGCTACAATGTAATCAAAAATTGTATTTGCTACATAGCGSTTAAGGACACAATTACATGAATCAACTAATGATCAGCACTGCATAGAATGATCTATGTTCTTCTAGGCTAGTATATAAAATGTGTCGAAATTATAGTTAYACATAAGCTCCAGATTTCTGTAGGCAGAAAGGACTGATGCAGAAATAGTTATCTTCGGTCAGTCTGTTCACCTACTCGTTTCTCTCACTGAATTCTAAGTTCAATGCAGTTTTTCTGGAGCAGATGCTGGTTTGTTAATACAATACTTCTCTTATTTGAGGGTATTATTTTGGAAAGTGTCAGTTAAGGGCAGAGGGAAATAAAGCAGTTTGGCAAGAAGTATCAGGAGGCTTGGCTACAGTTCCTATATGTATCTCTGAGACAAATTTCTTAAGAAATTTCTTCAGCAATGCTCTCTTCTTACCTCTTGACAGCTTGCACTGCTTATTTATTTTTCCCCTTCTTGAACTTTTCATTCTCTTGCGGTTAGGCTGAACTATGTTTTTTGGAGCAGTGGCACACCGGCATCTCTTTTCCTTTCTCTTTTTTATACTATCYTTTCTAAGATGAGATAGTTCTTGACCTGTGTGCAGAGAGACTTCACATAGCGACTCTTCTTCTGGCTTAGTGTTTACATCAGGCTTAAACTTTAGGAAAGCAAAATCTTTTAAAATCTTTTTTTTTTAAACTGATCCCACAAATCTAACATGAATTAGATTGTATTTTACTATTATTAATTGAATAATCTTTAAAAAATGAAACTGAGAATTGTGCGGCAATAGTTGGGTTTGAGTACCTGAAAGAAGTCAAAGAAGTTTTGAGTTAGCTTCAGGTTTTCTAATTTATTTACAATAGTTTTGTTCAACCAGGATAACCCAAAACAACAAGGTCTCGGGCCTCATTCTCTCCATGTAATTTAAAAGAAAACAGTATAATCAATCAAGTTCATTCATGTTCAGAGTTATGAACATTGCAGTAATATACAGGTTTTAAAAGCTTTTCTTTGAACTTTTATGGAAAAGTTGATTTTGTTTTGTATCTCTGAGTATTACTAAGTGCTGAATTCATTACCTTTTTTATAATCTTTATTTTTTTTAGTAAACTTGATTTTGTTTTGTATCTCTGAGTATTACTAAGTGCTGAATTCATTACCTTTTTTATAATCTTTATTTTTTTAGTAAACTATTATGTTGCACAATACTTCTACACTGCTGTTTACAAGATCAAAGCTATTCTCTGAAGAGCTTTGATTAACTATGAATACTGCCTATGTTCAATGCTAATAGGTATATTAAAGTAGTGCCAAGATTAATGTGGAGATGACCCCATGCCTTTTCTCAGAATTGCAGGGGGGCAAATTCTGTCAACAGTGAAGATGCATTTGATAAAAGGCCGAAGCAATGGGGATCCTTTCTGTCGAGCGGTAGAGGAAGTTGTAGAAAACTGGGATTTGAAGATTAAAAATATTATCGAATCACAACATGATGTCTTGACTGCCAGCACCGCTGGAGTTAGTCCAGCACGGGTAATGGGGATTTCTTTTGTTCTTTTTACTGCTTAGCTTTACACAAAGCAAATGTCTTTCTTTTGTATTGTTGCTTTATTTTCCTTTTCTTAAAGGACTTTAAATGGAGTATGGTATTTTCCTAATAATTCAGAGCAATGTTATTTCCTCTACACTGTGGTTTTTAACTTGTTGAAAGTCTTGGATAGTTGAGGATTATATTGTGGATTTCAAAAAGATGATATTATTTAAACTAATTACATCAAAATTGTAAATAATAGACTCTTCAGAATGTAATTTGTTCTTGGAGCTGTTCTAGATGTAAATACTTGTATAGCTGTCTGATTTGTAACTGCTTTAAAGACAGTAATATTGTAACAAATTTCTGAACAAAAAAAAATCCTGTGAAAGTGGAATTAGGATTTAAGAATGGGTACTGGCAATTTAGATAGGATTTAATTCAGAATCAGAATCCAAAAGTAAGAAATTCAAAATAAAGTTAAATGTGGAAAAAGTCCAGTGCACAGTAAAATGGGGATATGATGATAACATAATTAAAAAAAATTAAATTTAGTTTTCTCTTTAGTATTTCAAGATAGCAAAGAAGCAATGAAACTATTTTAATTAATGGTTTTACCAGCAGGGAAAGAATCCAAGTTTTAAATTCTTTAAAAGCCAGGTGTGGAAAGCAGGATGCATGCTTTTTACTTCTGGTTTGCATACTTTCAATGTAGTCAGATTTATATGGTGTCATTTTTATGATAAAACACTAATGAGTATTCTTACATTTTTACGTTATAAAAATCATATTTGTATATCTTTTGTCTAAGAAACTCTTAAAAACTTGTCACTACTTTAAATGTATTTACAAATTCAGAATGCTTTGTGTTACCAAATCACTTGAAGTGCTTCATGGTAAAATAAGATCTGAATAAGATTGCTGTACTGATCTTCCAAAATGCTTTTGCTTTTCTGCAGGAGCTAAAACTGGCCAGACTCTAGTGACTAGTACAACTGTTTTAAAGGCWTTTCCACTGAACGGGTTTGAACAGACAGAGTATATATTTCACCCATATTTTCCTGTTCTACCTGAATATTCTACCACATATATTTCCCTACTTCCCTTCCACACCTTCCTTCCATGTTCCTTTCACACATTTGTCAGTTTCCTTTGTCTACCTCTCGCTGAAAGCGTGATCACCATATCAGTTACTTTTGTTTCTCAATTTTTACACCTGCTTGTATACCTATAAAATTTTAAAATAAAGAATTAGTTCACTATCAGTCAGGTAAAATTGACCAAAAATTGCCCTTCCACAATGGTTGTTCTTCACTGGTAAAATTCATAGTCTAACTAATAGCAGAAATATTTACCAGTTTTCTTGTTGAGATAAAACTTAGCACAAATGGTTCTATCYTGATGTAGTTAGAATAAATGTGGATAAACACCTGTTCTCACTTAGAACAGAGGGAAGGTGATATATTTCTTAAGATATGCGTGAAGACAGTCTATGTTTTAGTCATATGAATCTGTAGTTCCATAATGAATTTAATTCTTGAGTCCAAGYGCATTCATTGCAAGACCATCCCATCTGCTGGTGTATGAGTGGATTCCACTGTAGCTCTTCATTATGAGTGGTGTGCTAATGGGCTTGAGATGGCTAATGTTCCCTCAAAGGCAGAAGACGGATAAGTGTTAGACATCGACTTTYAGATTTTGGTAAAGCTGTAGAGGAAGACTGTACTAATCATATAGAGAGATAGGTTGTTGTTAATGATTTTCAAAATATTTTTTCATTATTTTTAAGAATGAAGTTCAGTTATGTAGGAAATTTGGAGCATCTGTATCATTCTGTTAAGATTCCATGGGACAGCGAAAACTCATCCTCATGTTAACCCATTCTGTATTCAACATCCCATGAAAAATAAAATTTACTTTATATTTATCTCTCACATTCTTATAATTTTTATAATTCATTTTTTCATAGGTAATAGATTGAATAACTTCTTTAAATGCAAATTTTAGATTTGATCTTAGTTATAAAGCTGAAAAGGATGCCCTCACTAGCTCCTGAGAAGCCTGCTTCCTCATAAATTGTACCTGAAAACATTTTCTTTATTGGAAAATATTTTTGCAGCACATTTCTTTCACCATTGCTCAGATTCGATGGAAGTATTTATCTCATCCAGAGCTCTAGAAAAAAATAATTATATCATGCAGGAGGAGGGACTATGTTTTCATGAAACCTGTGTGAATGACTAAAAGGAATTGTGATTAATTTCTTCCTGAAATCCTTATTATTGTAAATGTTTACATTTTTATAGAATTGTCKAGCATGATCTGAGGCAGCTAATGGGCGATACCCTTGAAAAGACTAATCAACTCTTTTCCTGAAAATATGTATTGAACCGTGAAGTTAAGTCTAAGCTGCAGGCTTTTTGTGGCAGATGTTGTGGTTTTTTGTGGTGCCCTGGACAGCAGGGTTTTTTTCTTCACGATCATCATACTCAGCTGCTGTTGTGAGGTTCCTTGTCATCTTTTGACTGTTGAGAGTGTATGTTTTATTCTAGAGTTTTGGGGGGTTGTGATATTTTTTTTCCTTATTTTTCTTTTCTTTTTTTTCCTCCTTTTTAAGTAATCAGTGAAGATAATGCTATGTTTCTTTTTTCTTTTTATTTTTCATTAAGATTAAATTTATCATGACACACATGACATTTTCTAAAAGTCTATAATGTGGTGATGCTATGACTGTAACGGTTCAGAATAAATGTTGAGGAAATTAAATGGTACTGAAATAGGCCAATTCTGTAAAACTATGTAACAACCATTTCTGTAATTGCTATTTCTAGCTATTGATTATAACTTATAGTATCTGACTAACATGTTGCTATGGTTTCTTGAAAGCTACATACACTAATTGATGTAATCAAATAGAGAGAAAAATAGAATTTGATCTTTTCAAGACTATGTTTAAAAGCAGTTAACTGATTAGATAAATGCAGTTTGTTGCTTGTCTTGTCCTTCTGAACAAATATAGGCTATTGAATGTTTTTCTGTGTGAGTAAATAAGAGGGGCCTGTAGTTTTTAAAATCTACTACTGTATGCTAAGCACTAAATTCCTCTGCGGAACTCCTAGTACTTTTAAAGAAAAATGTAGCAAACTTTTGCAATTCTTGCAGTCCCATAGTGGCTATGAAGTTCTACATCTGTATTGCTCACTGTAGCATTGAGCATTTCCAGATGTGGATTATTATTTTCTTTAAGGACTTCTTTATTCTTGTGGAAAATCGTGAGGAATTCATTCTGTTCCAACCACGAGATTGTTGTGCCAAGTACCTCTCTTGTCAAATCTTGGTGGAAGTCTCACTTTTAACCAGTTCTTTTTGGAGATCCATTTAGTCAGAGGAGTTGGGCTTCACTGTAATGTGCTTGTGTGCCCCATAGCATTAAGATTTGTTGTGAGGAAATAATGCATTAATTTTTGCAGCATGATCTTGTCACAGATTTGAATATTTATCTATGTGATTTGCTCGTCAGTGTATGCCTCCAGCTGGCAATCATCCAAGCTCCCAGTTTCTTGGGATGAGCAAGAAACTTCCCTATGAGCAAATTATTCTGTAAATGTTTATTGGGAAAAGGGAGGAGGGGATTCTTGCACCTTCTCTTGGCATGGCTTGCTTCTGGAGGTGAGCTG